AAAGAACTCATGCATCTCAACAACAAAAAAACTAACAACCCAATTAAAAAATGGGCAAAAGACCTGAACAGACATTTCTCCAAAGAAGGTATACAGTTGGCCAACAGACAAATGAAAAGATGTTCAAAATCACTAACTATCAGGGAAATGCAAATCAAAACTACTATGAGATATCACCTCACGCCCGTCAGAATGGCTATAATTAACAAGACAGGAAACAACATGTGTTGGAGAGGATGTGGAGAGAAGGGAACTCTCATTCACTGCTGGTGGGAGTGCAAACTGGTGCAGCCACTATGGAAAACAGTATGGAGATTCCTCAAAAAATCAAGCATAGAACTACCATATGATCCAGCTATTCCACTGCTGGGTATTTATCCAAAGAACTTGAAAACACCAATGCATAAAGATACATGCACCCCTGTGTTCACTGTAGCACTCTTCACAATAGCCAAGACTTGGCAGCAACCTAAGTGCCCATCAAGGGACGAATGGATAAAGAAGATGTGGTACATATACACAATGGAACACTACTCAGCCATAAGAAACGATGAAATCCAGCCATTTGTGACAACATGGATGGCCATTGAGGGTATTATGCAAAGCGAAATGAGTCAGAGGGAGAAGGTCAAATACCGTATGATTTCCTTAATTAAGTAGTAGATAATAACAACAATAAACAAACACATAGAGACAGAGATTGGATTGGTGGTTACCAGAGAGGAAGGGGGGAGGGAGGAGGGCGAAAGGGATAATTCGGCACATGTGGGTGGTGATGGGTTGTAATTAGTATTTGAGTGGTGAACATGATGTAATCTATGCAGAAATAGAAGTATAATGATGTACACCTGAAATTTATACAATGTTATAAACCAATGTTACTGCAATAAACAATAAATAAATAAATAAATAAATACACAACAAAGACTAAGTGGCAGCACTGCCACTGTTTCTTTATAGCACAACAATATGTTCACGTATACTAGAACATCAAGGGCATGTTTTAATGGCCCAAATATCATACTTAATGGTATTGGAAACCATTGGTTTCCAATACCATTAAGTATGGAAAATAAAGATAGAAACTGACTTTTCAGATTAAGATTTTATAGACCTAGGGTTTTCTTCTAGGCTAGGTAAAAGCTATTTCCAAAGACTACTAGAAGGGAAGAAACAGAAAAAAAAATGCTCAAGTATCTTTATATTTTTATTTTAATTATTCTCCACAAATAAGACCTATGTGCTTACTGTCATTCAGCTATTACAGGTACTGTTTTCTACACAACAAAGCAAAATTAATCCTTTTGAAGTTTCATGGCTAAATATTATTCTCATTTTATAAAAGAGGAGTAGGAGCAGCTTGTGGTTTGCTATTAAGACAGCATGATGAATTTCTTCCAGAAGCTCTGTTCTTAACGACAGTGAAATTAGCCATCAATAACTGCATATTACGCTAAGAAAGGCCATAAATTGCTGTTACAGCACCTAGAACATGCAGTAAGAGAATCGTGTTCTCTCACAGAAAAATTTCAGATGGAAAACAGGTATGACTTAAAATCAAATTCTACTCAACCATTGTTAACAAAAACAATAACCACAAAATTTTTTACCAAGAAATTGCTTTGTAGAGTACTGAAACTTTTGTCGTTTTGTCATGAATATACCAGCTGCTCAGGGGAGACATGAAAAGGTAGAATAAAGTTTTCATTTCCATCTGAAGATGATTAAAGTACTCTTTATATTATATTAAAGTATAAAACTCTAGTATTATATACATAATATTTTGTGAGTCTGTATATACACATTTGTAAAATCCTTACATTCTCTTCTCGTGAAAATGTTAATTCTCTGCTAAAATCTTATACATAATTTTATTTATACATACTATTCTTTTTTGTAACAGCATCTCCTCTTGTCTCATATTGTTTTGGTGTTTTATGATGTGCTATATTCTTTGTGTTAAGAAAAACCACAAAAATAAAAACCTATCGATCAAGAAGGGTGACTTTTCCCAGGTAAGTGGTGTCTTAGGCCCCTTACTTTAGGCACCTCCCAGCGTGGGCTGTGTACAGCAAGGTTCAGAGTTGAATTACCTTGTTACCTAACTTGGTGCCTGCCAATCAGTGCTGCTGCCTTTGAATTACTGCAGCCATGGACCATTGCTGCTCAGAGGATTTTGATATTTGAGGCACTCCACCGTCTGATACACATATGTTTTAGCTGTCACCATAAATGGTGATGAACACTGAGCCATTTCTCTTTGCCTATCTGTCCGTTCCCCATGTTGTGAGAAATACATGAACATCATCGTAGATCTTAGAAAATATTTTTTTCCATACTTTTCACAGCAACAGATAGCTCCTAAGTTTTTAATCGACTTTATACACTACTGATGACTAGTGTATTCAGAACATGGTTTATTGGAAGAAAATAAAAACTGGATATGACATATGGAGACCTAGGTTTGCATTTTAGCTCTCCATTTATAGGCTGTGGACTTTAGATAAGACTTTCTCTCATGACCCTCAGTTTTATAATATATAAATATAATAATCCCTATTTACATCATAGGGTTCTCTTACAACTTAAATAACATGGGAGAAATATCTGCGAGTTATGAAGTGCTCTGCAGATACTTGTTAATATCAAAATAATAATTCTTAAGAGTCCTAAATACTAAGCCCTAGCTCAGAACTCATATATAGCAAATGGCATTTCAATGCTGCATTCAATGGATACTGATGGTGGCCTGACAAGAAATTAAATACACAAGTCTGTTCTCATCTTCCCCACCGTTTTTAAGACTTTGTTTATAAATTTTTTCATGTCCCATAAATAAAAGAATGATTTGTCTAACACATATTTATAAATAATTTCTTCATCCAATATCAAAGACTACTAAAAGAAATTCACCTCAGTTTTAGTTTTTCACCTACAATGTATGGTTTTCCAGCTGTGTTGTTTTCATGGCTCCTTAATTAATGAGGCTACTGCCATGTCTTTGTGATGTTTTCCTCTGCTGTCCCTTTGTATGACACATTGAGCTATGTTTGCGAGAATCTCTGCCAAATCCAGTAAAAACTTCATTGTACATTGCCAGAAAAGAAAAAAATAAGCACACAGTAGCATCTTTTTTTCCCCCACTAACAGTGTCAGCAATTAACAAGTGTAATCAGGCAAACTAAGTAAAGCTTGGAGAGTAAAGGGTAGAGCCTTTGAGATTCAGGATGTTAAGGATGCTTTTCAAGTGGTCAACACAAACACCCAAAATGCTGCTATACAAGCTCCTGTGTGTTTGTAAAAGCAGCATTTTTTGAAGCACTTTCCTTATCTCATCTCCAGGTTGGAAACATGCCCATCTTTGCAGATTACATTACCATGCCCTGTCCTTTAGCAAGAACTCTATTAATTGCCTGACCATTTAAACAAATACTTGCTGAGGCACCTTTTAAAGTAAGCACCTAATTACCTCCTTGCTAATGACCTGATGATAATTCTGAAAAGGAAGAGAGGAAACAAGAAGAAATGTGTTGCCTTGTGTCAGTGCAGCTCTCTTTTCCATGTGGCCATGATGAAATCCAACAATCAGAACATTCTCCAAATCCACCTGAAGCTTGAGCTAAGGCTCAAGCCACAATGAGTTACTCTGGAAGCTTCTATTGATAGCTGACTTGGGGTTAGGAAATGGCATGAATTAGTTTCAGAACTTTTACTAGTTTTTTAATTTATTCATTTTTTAAAACTTCTCAACTATCAGAGATTGGTATCTTTTTGTGAAGGTTGGGAAAGAAGCAGAATCCCTAGGCTAATCAATCTCCAAGGGAAGCTCTGAAGAAAAGAGGCAAAATCTGACTCAGCAAGATTCAGGAAAGTATTTTCCATGATTGATCCATGATCCTTGGGGCTGCCTACCAGGGTCCATACTAAGGGGGGGCAAGCAAAGTACCCAGAGCACAAAACATAAGGAAGCACTGTCTGTCACTTGCACAACCCCAGTCCCAGCTCTGCTGCCTACAGAAGCATCTGATCAAGTAACTTCATTTTAACTGTTAAAAGACAGAACCAATGAAAATACACATATTCAATAAGGACAGCAATGAACAGATACCGCTGCTCTCTTCCATTATACTTTAGAGTTCTTAACACACTTTCATACATATTATCACATTATGCCAATCACAACTGGCTGAAGCTAGAAGTGCAGAATGTATTAATCCCACCTCAGAGTTCAACAAACAACTTTAGGGGAGCTCTAGGATTTGATCAAGGTAATAGAGGCAGAACTTGAATTCAGGCCACTGACTCTCTATGTTTAGTAGTCTTCTCACTATGCTACACAACACCAGGTTTCCCTCTGAGGTTCTTTATAGCATCTGATTTTATGGTCTATATTGATTAGGATTATTTATGATGTCACTAGTGGCTGGTTAATATTAACAACGAAATGACCTTAAATTTGTCTATTGTCCTCTGCCCATAAGTAGCCTTATGAGACAGGAAAAATAAACAAAAGGAATTAATCTAATGGATCTTAATGCCAGGCTTTAACATTTTAGGGGAAATAAAAACCATTTATAAATCAACCTCACAGATGAACTTTTTAATACTGTTATTGATTGCATAGTAGAATCATTTTTTTGTTTATGTTATTATCAACAAGGCTTAGAAGCCATTGGAAGCATATGGGTAACTTTGCTAAGAGATGTAAAGAAGCTGAGATTAGGGCAGGTCTATACAGTATCAAGTGTGAGCCTTCTCTCTCTGTACTGGGAGATGTCCAGAAAAGAGCAGAAGAAAAAAAAAAAGACCCTTGCCAGTGTGTAACATGTGGTCTGTTGGTCTTTCTCTGCACAGCCCTGCTTCAGACAAAATTACTAACACTAACCAGAAATACAATTTAGGTGTCCACAAAAAAACTTTGAGATACAAATCTAGTTTCCTGGATACAGTGGATTAATATGGAGAGAGTCTAAATTATTTAAAAGCGAAGAGAAACTTACTCCTCCCCATGTTTTCTTGTGGTCTCCGGCAGGTCCCTGGATGATGATTTCCTGTACAAAACACAGCACATACACACAGTCAGATTCACAGAGGCTGAGTCACTACATCAAATAAGTTCCACTAAAGTTGATGTGGTCAATATGAGCATTTCATTTCAGTGCATTCCAATCTTGTCTCCTTACATAAATGTTTTCTCCATCACAAACACATATCTAACCTCAGAGGATAGAAAAATAATATTCTGGAAGCATGGGCTCTAAATCAACTTGCTATAAATCAACAACTTGTTCACCTGGCATTAATTTCTGCCCTTGCCAAACAGAAGTCACCAAATTGGTCACATGCTTATCACTTAGGAAGGCAGTGATATCAACAAAAAATGGTGGACAAAATTGCCACAAGACCCAATTTTAATAACCAAGCTAGCATGTTATTAGTTTTCCTATCCCTAGCTTCTCTTCAGTGTCATTCTGTGACAAATCCAATACCCTTTATACTGTAACATTTTCCTGAAGGGTGTCAAACAGCAGTACCCCTAATCAAATTATCCCTGAGGCAAAGCAGCCCACAGAGTTATTACCAATAAACAGTGCAAATCAATAACTATGAACTACTGACAACGGAAACTTTGGAGGAAAAAAACCACATACTGCAAATGCAGGTATGCATAGAGGAACAGCAATTCTGTTTTTAAAAGATGAAAATAAATACACAGAAGCTAATTCACACCATGAGGCATCACTTTCTCACAGGGTTCAACCATAGAATTACACATTTATTATTCACCTGCCACATTCCCAATATGGAGCTAAGCACCAGAGAAGCAAAATTATAAGACATAATCTATCGTCCGTTAAGGAATGTATAATCTACTTGAAGTTAAGCATACAGGGGACAGTGACATCAAGATGGCCACAGAGGTCATTCCCGACTTCAGTCCCCCTCACAAGAAGACCAACTAGCAACTATCCATAGAAAAGACATCATTGTGAAAAATCCACATTAGAAGGGTAAGAGGAGGGGCCGACCCGGTGGCGTAAGCGGTTAAGTGTGCGCACTCCACTTCGGTGGCCTGGGGTTCACAGGTTCGGATCCCGGGCACGCACTGACGCACCACTTGGTAAGCCATGCTCTGGCGGCATCCCATATAAACTAGAGGAAGATGGGCATGGATGTTAGCTCAGGGCCACTCTTCCTCAAGAAAAAAAAAAGGGAGGGGAGGATTAGCATCGGATGTTAGCTCAGGGCTAGTCCTCCTCACAAAAAAAAAAAAAAAAGAAGGGTAAGAGGACTGGGTACACTCTGACCGCATTGCCCCTCCCCCACCGTGACACAGTGCCACACAAAGAGGGCTCCCCCCCACCCCGAGGGCCGATGGTTTCTACAATGGGAAAAGAGAACCCAAGGTGGACATCCAGCTCCCCCAGCATGTGGGAGGCTGCCCAGGAGGCTCACTCAGGTCTTGCCTCACAGGGATCACTGGCGGAATCTGCAGGGCTTGACCACTGGGGATCAGATAGAGCTGGAGAAGAGGAGTGGGACTTATAGCAAACAGTGCTCAGGTCTTGGCAGACGGTGTTCCTATTTGCAGCAGTACCTGAGCAAAGATCCCAGCCAGCAGCTCTGGCCATCTGCAGAGTTGACCCAGTGGCCCCCTCTGGCTAGGGAGCTCAGTTGGCAGTTCTGCCTGATTTGGATCCCCAGTCAATGGGCCATACTGGCAGTCGAGCCTGTTCTACCACCCTGCCCAGGAAGGGAAGCAAATTCCCAGCCCTGCCCAGGTGCTGAGCAGAGCCTCCAGTCCTGCCCTTCCAGGAGGCCTGGCCAAAGAACTAGATCAGCTGAGGAGCCCATCTTACAGCCCCACTTGGTCAGGGATCCAAGCCAGCAGCCCTACCCAACTGTTGAGCACAGCTTCTGGCCTTACATAAGCAGGGAGCCTGAACAGTGAGTGACCTTGGACAACATGGGACCCCAGCCTATGGTACCAGCGAGACAGAGAGCCCAGCCTAAGGCCCTGCCTAGCTGCTGAACACAGCCTGCGGTCTTGCTCAGGCACAAGCCCAGCCAGTTACCCCACCCAATCAAGCGGCACAGCCTGTGGCCCCACCCAACAAGGAAGCCCAGCCAGTGACCTCGCCTACCAGCTGAGCACAGCCAATGACTTAAGGTGATCACAAAGACCAGCATGCAGCCCTGCTCAACTTCAGGGCAAAGTCTTCAGCCCTGCCTGATCCCAGAGCATAGCCTGAGGCAACGTCAGACCACTAAGCCCTGCCTGAAGCCCTGCCTAAACAAGAGTCCAGCCACTGGCACCATCTGGTTGTGGAGCACAGTCTGAGACCCCACACAATCAGGGGCAATTGAAGAGCCTAGCCCACAGCCCTGCCCAATCATGGAGTTCAACCAGTGGCACCACCCTGCCAGGGAACACAGGCTGGGACTTCACCCAACCAGAGGTGATTGCAGAGCCCGGCTACTGGCTCCACCTGACTGTAAAACATAATCAGTAGCCCCAACCCAAACAGAGGGATGGTTGCCCAGTGGCCCTGCTTGAACATGGAACCCAGCCAACAGACCTACCCAACTGTGGAGCCCAGCCAGCAGTATCCTCCAACCTCAGAGCATAGGCAGTAGCCTCACCCAACTAGATACCCAGTAGCAAGCCCTGCCTGCCCATGGAGGCTACCAGCTAACCTATCCAGTACCCTCAAGCTGTAGTGGCTGGTGAAGGTCTTTCCCTGCCAAAGTGAACCTGTAAAGTCTAGAAGAAGAGAGTGCTTAAACAAATGCACAGATACCAATGCAAGTAATCAAGGATCACGAAAAAACAGGTTAAAATGACACCACCAAAAGAAACTAATAAAGCTCCAATAACTGACCCTAATGAAATGGAGATCTATGAACTGTCTGAAAAAGAATTCAGAATAATTCTCTTAAAGAACTTCAGTGAACTACAAGAACACACAGACAACTAAATGAAATTAGGAAAACAGTGCATGAACAAAATGAGAAGTTCAACAAAGAAATAGAAACCACCAAAAAACAAACAGAAATCTTAGAGCTGAAGAACATAAGGACTGAAGAATTCAACAGAACAAAACAGCAATACCGTCATGTGCCACATAACAATGGTGGTGCCACATACCAACATTTGCTCAACAAAGGACTGCGTATACAACAATGGTCCCATAAGATTAGTTCCATACATGGCCTAGGTGTGTAGTAGGCTATACCATCTATGTTTGTGTAAGTACATTCTATGGTATCTGCACAGCGATGAAATCGCCTAATGATGCATTTCTCAGAACGTATTCCCATTGTTAAGCAATTACTATGGTCATGGATCGCTTACCTATCAGTAATTACTTTAAATGTAAATGGATTAAATTCTCCAATCAAAAGACATAAAATGGCTGAATGGATAAAAAACAAGATCCTGATAATATGCTGCCTATAAGAGACTCACTTTAGCTTTAAGGACACACACAGAATGAAGTGAAGGGATGGAAACAGATATTTCAAGCAAATGGTAACCTAAAGAAAGCAGAGATAGCTACACTTATATCAGCCAAGATAGACTTTAAGCTAAAAATGGCTACAAGAGACAAAGAAGGTCATTATATAATGAAAAAGGGGTCAATTCATCAAGAAGATATAACAATTATAAATATTTATGCACCCAACATTGGAACACCAAAATATATAAAGCAAATACTAATAGAACTAAAAGAAGAAATAAACAGCAATACAATAATAGTTGGGGACTTTACTACCCAACTCTCAACAACGGATAGATCATCCACACAGAGAGTCAATCAGGAAACACCAGATTTAAACAACACTATAGATCAAATGGACAAAACAGACATACATAGAACATTCCATCCAACAGCAGCAGAATACACTTTCTTCTCAAGCGCACATGGAAACTTTTCTAAAATAGATCATATGATAGGCCACAAAACCAGTCTCAATAAATTCAAGACAGAAATTATATCAAGTATCTTTTACAACTACAAGGGTATGAAACTAGAAATAACAAGAGGAAATCTTGAAAATTCACAAATACATGGAAATTAAACAACGCCTTCTTGACCAACCAATGGACTAAAGAAGAAATTAAAAGGGAAATAAAAAATATCTTGAGACATACAAAAATGGAAACACAACATAAGCAAACCAGTGGGATGCAGCAAAAGCAATTTTAAGAGAAAACTTTATAGCAATAAACAACACTATTAAGAAACAAGAAAGGGGAAATAAAAAAAATTATCTTGAAACAAATGAAAATGGAAATACAACATATCAAATCTTGTGGGATGAAGCAAAAGTATTTCTGTGAGGAAAGTTTATAGCAATAAACACATATATTAAGAAATTAGAGAGATCTCAAACAAACAACCTAACTTTACACGTCAAGGAACTAGTAAAAGAAGAACAAACTAAGCCCAAACTCAGTAGAAGAATGAAATACTAAATATTAGAGCAGAAACCAATGAAATATAGAATAGGAAAACAATAGAAAAGATTAACAAAGCTAGGAGTTGGTTCATTGAAAAGATGAACAAAATTGACAAACCTTTAGCCAGACCAAGAAAATAAAAGAGAGGACCCAAACAAATAAAATCAGAAATGAAAGAGGAGACATCACAACTAATACCACAAATACAAAGGATCATGAGAATACCATGAACAATTATATGCCACAAATTGGACAATCTGGAAGAAATGGATAAATTCCTAGAAACATTACAATGCACCAAGACCAAATCACGAAGAAATAGAAAATCTGAACAGGTCAATAATGAGTAAGAAGATTGAATCAGTAATCAAAAACCTCCCAACAAAGAAAAGCCAAGGGTCAGATGGTTTCCCTGGTGAATTCTACCAAACATTTAAAGAATAATTAACTCCAGTCCTTCTCAAACTCTTCCAAAAAATCAAAGAGGAGAAAATACTTTCAAACTCATTTTATGAGGCCAACATTACCCTGACACCAAAGACAGATAAGGACACTACAAGAAAAGAAAACTACAGGCAATACCCATGATGAAT